ACATCATCATCATCTTTGCCCCGGCTAAACGATGCTTAAGCACGCATGGGCAGTCCGTTTATGGTGTTTCTCCAGTTGTTCCTATTCTGAGCATTCCTAGATGCTTATGTTATTGTCACATCCAAGGTTCCACAGTCTTCCTTTATGCTGTCTATCCAGCGTTTTGAGGGCCTTCCTCTTTGTCTTATCCTGTGCACTCTTCCAAGCAGTGCTATCTTCGGGTATCTGCCATCATTCACTCTTACAACATGGCCGAAGTACCTCAACACCGTTGCCATATCCTGTAGTTTACTTCCTTCTGTAGATGGAGATGTTCCGTAATGTCATCACTGCACGGATTTTGATGCTTCTCTCTTAAAGTCCGAAAGCGGGGGGGGGGGCGGGGGGAAGCTGATAGAAAGGGATAGGAAAGACACTTCCTCATGCCAAAAAAGTCACCACAGTAGGAACCTGGCACATGAAAACACTAAACTGGACAGGATATCTAAGTCTCCCAGCAGCTGCCTCCTCGATGGTAAGACTGGAAATGACTAGCTAGGTTCACTGGAAACCTGGGGAATTTGGTACGTGGGTGAAAAGAGGTCCAGCTGGTCGGCTAAAGGCTACCGCATGAAGAGGAAGAGAACTTGTCCTCATCAACTCAGACCATGAAACCCAGTATGGACAAGTTCAACAGAAACACCTGGGTTAAAGTCCTAGAATCTGACAGTGCCCCAGTACCTCCAGGTTCTAAGTGCAGGACAGATGATGGTTCTCTCTTAAAGCTGAAATGGGGGAGGGGAGCTGATAGAAATGGACCGGAAAGGCACTTCCTCATGCTTAAGAGTCACCACAATGGGGACCTGGAACGTGAGAACACTAAGCTAGATAGGATATCTAAAATATACAAAGATAAAATTTAGAATACAAAAAGCTAAATAGGACTCATAACCACCCAGTCAATAAATGGGCTAAAGAAATCTTCACAAAAGATGAGGTACAAATGGCCCATGAACATTTGATAAAGTGTTCAATCTCACTAGATATCAAATAAATGCACACGAAAACTACATTGAGAAGACTACTTTCAGGGATCGTTTCTATAGCTGCTTATCAGAGAAATTTCTCTGACTGTGTAGAGGACCCAAGTGCCACAAGGAGGGTGCGATAGCTATTCTTGGTTGTCAACTTGATCACATCTGGAATGCAGAATCTGTGAGAGATTCTTTTTGCTTGGGTGGATCCACTTCTAGTACGGACCTTTGAAGTATGAAGACACACACCTTTAATCTGAATCTTGAGGCTGAAGACACAATGTTAATGTAGGCCACTGCTGCTGGAAACCTATATAAAGACACAGAAGGGAGCTTTTGCTCTTTGCCCACTTGCCATCATCCTGCTAAGCAATCATTCCTTCACTGGCATTGGAGCCTACTCTTCTTTGGGATTCCAGCATATACTGAAGACCATCTGAGACATCAGGCTTTGTGGACTGAGCAACTACTGGATCCTTGGACTTTTCATTCACAGTCAGCCATCGTTGGATTAGCTGAACTGCAGTCTGTAAGTCATCCAATAAATCCCCTTTAATATGTATTAATGTATTACATATTAATATATTGGTATCTTAATAATTATATTTAGAGAGAAATTCATTCTCTAAGTTCTGCTGCTGTAGAGAACCCTGACAACTACAGCGGTGTACTTCATTGAGAGAATGACCTCACTAGACAAGGATAGGCACAGCTCAGCCTTTAGTGTAAGAAATGTGGAAAGACACTGCCTTCTGGGGGCCTTGCTGAGCATGAAGGCAAGCCCTACTGCAACTATTCCTATTCGTCAGGTACATTCAGGCCCAAATGGGCATGCTGAAGCTGAAATCCATACTTTCAAGTAGTCCCAGGTTGTGGAATCCCTCCGTGTTTGCCTAGGCACATATTAGACCTTACCCCTAGATACCAGGGGCTCTCAGTAACTGTTCATGCCCTTAATAAACCTGAATCTTTGGGAGGGGGAAAATAAACTACATAGAGAGATCATCTTACCCCAGTCTGAACGTCAAGAATTAATTAATAAAACAAAATCAGGGCTCACACCTTTAGTTCCAGCACTGCTGAGGAAGAAGGCAAGAAGGCAAGGGGACTTCTGTGGGTCTGAAGTACTATACAAGGCCAATCAGGGCTACACAGCAAGGCCATCTTAAAAAAAAGAAAAGAAAAGAAATACTGGCAGGAATGAAGGGTGTGGAGAAAAGGAACTCTTATAAACTGTTGGTGGTAATGTCAACTACGGAAGTTGGTGTGGAGCTTCCAAATGACCCAGCTATCTGAAGAACTCTACGTCAATACATCACAGAGGCTCTTGCATATCCATGTTTATTGTAGCACTCTTCATAGTAGCTGAGTCATTAAACCAACCTAGGTGTCTAACTATAGAGGAATGGATAAAGAAATGTGGCATATATACACAAGGGAATTTTTTCAGCCACAGAGAGCAATGCCATTTGCAAAAAAAATTAATAAGTGAATAGAGGTATTCAAATTAAGAGATTTAAACCAATCTTAGATAAATATCAGATGTTTCCTTCATTTATGGGTCCTAGATTTTATAGATACATAAAACCGTGTGTGTGTGTGTGCATGTGTGTAAAAAATCTGTCTAAGGGAATAAAGGAAACTAATGGGAGAGGGAAGGAAAAGATGGGAAGGTGAAATGGTAGGTACAAGGAGGTAATATACTCAACCTACCTTATATACTTGCATTAAAATGTCCTTATGAAACTCAGTACCATGTAAAATGAACATAGATCAATTAAAATACAGTTTAAAATCTATATATATTCTAAAATGTACAATCCACTTAAGAATCATGAACATTTTCATTAAGTAGTTTTTATTTTAGATGAACATTATTGTAAAAAAAAGTCCACCTGGAATAAAATCCATTTTTTTAAAAAAACAAAACACAGCATCAGTATCAGTATAGTTAATGAACTGGCTTCAGCAGACCAGCCACAAGACAGGTCTCTATTATCCACAGGAGCTTTCCACAGCAAGCCACGGGAGCAAAGTAAAATGTTTAAGCACAGAAGTCTATGAAAAATCTTCATAGTGCCCACGGGGGCATGATTTTTATCAGACAGTTCCCGGCGTTTTGCATTAAGGGAACTGCAGCATCAGTTGCAGACAGTCAAGACAAACCCATCTGTAAGGCCATTGGAATGAACAATCAGAAGTCCATTTTTAAAAAGGTACAAAGATGAAGTATAAAGTTGTTAGTTCCTGGCATATGGCACACATCTCAAGACACAAAGTTAAAGTCAGGAAATCCTTAAAACAAATGCTTGCTGATTTCCATTTCTGTACTCATTTAGTTTCTAATGAACATGGCTCTAATAAATTTTATTAGTATCTCCTGACCTGCTATGTCCTTCTGAATCAAGGGATTTCATTTTCAGACAGTCTTCTTTGCCATTAGATGTAACGAGAAAGATAAATGAAGATTTCTTTGTTTTGTTTAGTTTTTTTTAAGTCTAAAAAACTGAATTGAAGAAATTTTGAGATCAGTAAGCCAACATAATGAAATGCGGTTTTAAAATTCTAGGTTTAAAATTTCATCTTTAAAGATTAAGGTATATTTATAAAAGCATCTAAGTCATAAGCTTGAAGAGAAAGTCTGCTAATTTGTTGTTCTACTGCTCAGAGGAAGATACTTCATAATCCCTAACAGAGATTCTCAGAATTTGGAGCCTCTAAAACGCAGTGGTCATTTCTTACTTGGAACAATTTACTGTATATTGCACAACTAAATTAATTAATGGAAAGGGCGGTAACATATTTTGTATGCTACTGGATATTGACATGCATGCTTTATTTGAAACTAAGGTGTCAATTTCTCTTTTCCAAGGATGTCTTCAGTTCAAAACAAGATAAAACATGCTGTCTAAATTTTGTTGAATGCTTAGAGGCTGGCTCACTGTTTATCTTCCAGGTATTAGAATATTAGTTAGCTAAATGAGGTATAATTAAAAAAAACAGTCCTTCAAGGTAAAGAGTCTTCAGGAAATTTATAACAAAGACTGCACAAAATGTCCACCTGCAGTAAGAAGCCCTGCGGTTTCCCTGACCAGTGTGCAGGGAGATCACTTCAGCATCATCTGAAGAAAGAGGCTAGAATAGGTTCCCAGCGAAACATTGTGCAACCAACTGATTTACATGCTACTTAGTTACAGCACACTTCACTGTCTGATACCCTCAGACTCCCTTTCAAACTCTTGAGTCCAACTATTGTCAAAAAATTAGCACAATGGTAATAAAGTGCAGCCACTGACCCACTAATACTGCTGCAAAATCTCTATTGTACCCCACCTGTAAGATCACAACAATGTGCACACACACACGTGCACACACACACAAGAGAAATCTAGATTTCTTGAGTTTCAGCAGAGAACAGACAATTATCTGTCACTAAATGTATCTACAAATAGAAAAAATAATGCACCATATGTACATTATTAAGAAAAGTTGTTGGGTTGCTTTTACCATGCAGAAAGTCAATTTCCTATGGTCTGGTTCAAATTATATACAATTTAGCAGAGCTAAATGTAAGAAAATAGCAAGGACAATTTATTTCTATATAACAGAGAATAAACTCCCAGTTTGCTGCTACTTCAAAGAGCACTTTTAGACTCACCTAACATTTACAGGCTCATTCAAAGAGAAGTTCATGGAGACTAGTTATTAACCCACAAAAGACACAAGAGTGAAGAATCAAAAGCAAAGCATTCTGGTTTGTTAGTTTAAAAAAAAAAAAGCTGACCACAGAACATGTCAGTTTTGGTTTGCAGACAACCCCTGAGATAGAAACCAAAGTGTTAAGACACCAAACAGCCAGAGGTAAGTGCTGAGAGAATTACATTCGGATATGGGTCACAGCTCCTGCTTTTTGCAAAGTACTTTGCTATCACTGTAACTGCTTGAACTTGAACTTTTTTCCCCAGAAAAGTAGTGATAAGACATTTCTAAAAAAATATCATTTTTAATTTGAACGTATTTAATTTGAAGATGTTAGACTTACAATCAATTCTCACTGAGAGAACTACTGACCCCTGGAGAGTCACGTGTGACTTGAAGCTGATAGGTAACCAGGGAAAAAGAAGAAAAGGCTACAGTTTGTCCACAATAAAGTCAGCGTATCCACCAAAAATAACTCTGGTATGCTTGCAGTCACTGGAATGCTTTTGAGTCTTTCCACAGATGGGAAGGCCTGACTGGTCCAAGTACTGAAGCAGAATTCCCCGTGTAACCAAATATCCATGTCCGTTTCCACTTCCAGGTCTTAATGTACAGAACAAGAGCAGGGGGAGTGACTGCTACCAGTTCTTTTCCCTTGTCACCTGTTTCTATGCCCTGTGCGTTAGGACACTGAAGGCTACAACAACAGCAGTGACATTTTGATCTGTATTTGGCACATAAGTTAACTACCCCTCTAGTGTGGTGGTTTATCTACAAAAGAAACATCAGAACCAGCATTTGGTGAGAAGGCAGCAAAGCTTTCGGTTGGCTTTGGCCTAGATAGCCACACCACATCTCTAATTACAAACCTAAATGTAAAGGGCTGGGTCCTATACATTCAGCAATGGCTGTGTAAAAGCTGAAACCTGGATCGTATGTGCTCGAATGAAAAGACAAGATTTCTGGAGGATATGCTAGGTCTAATTACTTTTATATATATATTTTTTTAAACACCAAATAGAACCAAAAGTCATTATTTTCATCATTACTAACAACTATCTTACACCAGCATGTCTAATTTCTCTCCATATAGGTATGTTTTACACAAACTGAAATCTAAATCTAACCTTTGTTAACTCTCTCGCAGATGGGGACTATGGTTAAGAAATGGGTAATACAAGTTAATGGGTAAAACTAAGAAGGGATATTTACATATTCTGGTGTGATAAGACCATAGCTGGATGTGATAATAAAGCCCTAATGACCATTTCTCTCCCTATGTGAAATCCCAATGCATGAAGTTCACAGACAGACACAACAGTTCTTACATATATTATTGATTTTAGATAAGTAAATAATGACAAGAAGTCAGGCAGGAAAAGGGACAGCAAACATGACCCTCAGAAACAGTGAGACTAGAGTGCTTTCTACATGCTGTTTCAGAGAGGAGGCAGTGGCAGCCAACTTAAAAAGAATACAAGCTACTCAGAGATGAGCAAAATTGATAACCACCTGAAAAGATGAAAATGATGTGGCCTCTGTGAACAGATGGGCATTTTTTATGAATTTTAAAAGTTAATCAGAATTTAATAATTTTTAAGAATACTGCAAATCAAAGTTCTTTAATAAATGCTACCAATAGAAGAACTTTTGGCCATATGATCCAGGCCACCATCCTTTAATTTTAGTATATCAACCTCTGTTTAATATTCTGCTGTCTTTAAATATCCCCAGATATATAAGTCTAGAACTTCATGCCACTAAAGTGCTCAGTTAGGAGTCTAAGATTATGCTGTACCACAGAAAGACTGACACTCATGTGCAAAGAAAGACAGCAGCTTTCCGGACAGGCAGTAAAACAAGGAAAAACCAGTTAGGTCCTGCGTGTGTCTCCACGTCATTGCTTCCATGTCTGAAGAAAAGAGCCTGCTCTTTTGCTAGGCCATGTGGCTGGAATCCACTTGGTGTTCTGTGTTGGGAGGTCTAGAGTTCCATGGTGCTCTCCGCAGCAGTCGGGCAAGGTGACTCTGAGGCTGGGTAACCTGTGCTTTCAGAGAAGCAGGGAAGGGCCCTCTAGGTATACTGCAGTCTCTCAGAAACGAAGAGTTCATCAAAGCAATGAACAACGGAAGAAACTTGTCTTCTTAGACCGGTTTTCTGTTATTTTCACTGGCCCACCTGCTCCTGATGAATTGCTGTCATTCTGAAAAATAGGACATGAAGCAGCTAAGGAAACCAAAATTTCAGGTTTGACCTCAATTACCTACAAAGTAAAAGCACACCATGTGGGGAATACACTCTAGTACACTCTCACCCATGCTCACTGCAAAGTTCTACCAGAGGAAGAATTAGTTAAGTCTCAGCATTGCCTTATTTTTTGCAAGAGGTGGATTAAAAAGAGACAGATATTCTTAGCCTAGTTAGCACTTTGGTTTTAACTATGTGTTAGGGAGGACAATCCCATATCTAGTTTAAAGCAATTTCAGCCAAGGCCTGTTAGGTGTCAAGGATAATGATGGAAACAGGGCTAAGGCAGTAAGTAGCAAGAAGAGTTGGTAATAGAAGGGAGATAGTTTTCATGAGGACCCATGGTAAAATGAACTTTAGGATGTCCTAAAGATTCATCTCTGACAGTTCAAATTGAAGTGAACTTGAGCAATTCCAAGATCATCATTACACAGATATAAGTATGTATTACATGAAAATTGAACTAGACAATTTTATGAAAAAAAATTTCTACCATTATTATTTTCACTATTCTGATAAAATTCAATTAACTACCACTTAAGGAGCCAGAGGAAAGAGCTGAGGCAGCTGTGATGCAGAAACAACCCAAAGCAATAGAAAATAGAACCACCGGTGCGATGATATGAATGCATCAGGAACAAATAAGGTTAATGTTAGCCTATTATAATCATGCTGTCCATTCTGTTGAGTACCATGCTGAAAGGTTGTATCATAGAAATAAAAAGTATAAGTCATACAAACCATTTTTCTGTTGAGTTTTGTCATTATATCCCGTGCAAGTGTAAAAAATGCCTAAAGGTAAAATAAACAACATTATTGTTAAATAATTGTATTTCAAAACAGAAATATAGAATTTTTATTATTTATTTGTGAATATACCACTTCAGAGTTTCTAATTGAAAAAAATAGTATAACAAAAATTCTAGCATATATGTTATTGGCTTTTTCAGTTATATCACATTTTCCAGTGTTGTCACATTGTCATTTCTTCATCAATTTTTTTATGCATGTAATGTCTGCCACAAGTTCCTAATGTGGCACACACAGTTATAAGTAGTTTTCTCAATACACTAGGAACAGGGGAAAGGCTCTGTTTAAACCACCCTGCTCCCCTAGGTAAAGGCTTCAACCTCTGGCCCAGATGATGCTTGCCTTAGGGTTACTATTGCTGTGATCAAACACCATGACCAAAGCAACTTGGGGAGAAAAGGGTTATTCAGATCATGCTTCCACATCACAGTTCATCATCAAAGGAAATCAGGACAGAAATTTAAGCACAGCAAGAACCTGGAGCTGATAAAGAGGCCATGGAGGGCGCTGCTCACTGGCTTGCTTCACATGGCTTGCTCAGCCTGCTTTCTTATAGAACCTAGAACAACCAATCCAGGGGTGGCGCCACCCTCAATGAGCTCAGTCCTCCTCCATCAATCACTAAGAATTAAGAAAATACCCTACAGGTTTGCCTAAATCCTGATCTTATGGAGGCATTTTCTTAATTGAGGTCCCTTCCTCTCAGATGACTTTAACTTGACCTAAAACTACCCAACACAATGTTAAAATCTGTTTAGGAAGTGCCCTAAGAACAAGTATGGATTAAACTATAGCTCTAAGAGTCCACCTCACAAAAACCTAAACCTTTTCTTTCTGACCTCTTCTGAGGGCATACTTAAGTATGCAGAATTGACCATGCCTTAATACTTTGAACTGCTGGTTCCCAGAACTCACCTAAACCACATGCGCACGCACGTGTGGAAATCAATTTAAAAGGAAGCCGAGAAAACCCACTTCACTCACTGGCTTCTTTAAAAAACATCTGTCATCATTTTTACTTTGTTTCCACAGAGGTATGAAATTCATTCTGGGGTCAAGATTGAGGGGTGCCCCCACAGGAGCAGACATAATAAGCTCCCCCACTTTGGTGGAAGGAATCCGTTCACAAAAGAAGGAAGTTTGCTTTTCTTTTTTTTCCTTTTTATCTATGCTTATGAAAATAAATCAGCGTCAAGTTCCTGTTTCTCAATACTCAGTAGGCAACCTGAAAAATTAGTGCTGATTGTTTTGCAGAAAGAAAAAGTCCTGACAAGTACCCATTGACTACTAAGGCCACTGAAGTCTTGCTATTCCAGCCATGTGTAAAGAAGGAGAGAAGAATCTCAGACACTAAAGCTTAGTTGGAACTGTGAGGATCATTAAGCACAGGTACTAACTCTATTACATGGCAATTAAAGACACAGATCATCTACAGTTTTCTAGAGCAGGTTTTCTTCACAAAGGGTAGAAATACTGGTGATATTTTGTTAATTTAAAAACTGATCATAAAATTATAATTTTCATCTGTTCATTGAAGACCTTAGATGAGCTTCTTAAAGAAATTTTACTATATTTTAGTTGCTTGTTGTGTTTGTGTGCATAGATAATGTTTGCCACAATGCAAACAGAGCGGTCAGAGGACATGGATCCTAAAGCCCAAACTCGGACCCCCTGGCAAGCTCCTCTGCCCTCTGAGCCACCTTGTCAGCCCCCCAGATAATTCTGTTATAACGGCTAACTTAATGGAAATGTATTAAGACTAATCTATGAAAACTATTTTCTTATATCTACTAAATGCCATAGTATTATAGTGTCATGCTTCATCTACTTCAAATGTGCACACAAAGGGAATCCACTCAAGAGACAGTGGTTAAACTCAAGTGATTACGGCAAGTGAGCAGAGGACACCGAGTCTGCAATTGCTAACTTCCCCAACAAATAGCTGCAATGAACTTAATATGAACTTGTATCTCCTCTCTTCTGAGAATCTTAATTGAGCAATCTTAACATAACCCATGTGGAGGCCATATGCAAGAAATCCAGGGGGCAGAGTCTATGTAAAAGCCCAAGGCATAGAAGTACTCAGGAAGCTTTGACTGGGTTCATTCCTTACCTCTTCTACATTTGTGCTGGATTTTGCACTTGTCTCCAAAAATTTAATCCCATAGTCAATTGCTAACTGAAAGGCAAACAGAAAATCAAGTTTAGGGAAAGTGGCTTGGACATACAAGCCCTTAGTAGAATATACACTGTCAAAGCCCCCAAGAGTCTATGCCAGAACTCGTGGTTTTCACTTTTGTTTGTTTTTCTTGTACTGTGCTTTAAATTCTATAATTTAACATAGTCTAAAAATGACACAGCTTCTGTTTAAAATGTCATGTTAGAAATTTGTTCTGTTGTACTTGTGGGTCTCTACCAAACACACAAGAAAAACTATGAGATGGAGTCTCAGCCTTACCACCACCTGGGATTCATTTACTCCTGTTTCTTGTCTCCAGGAGCAGAACTCTCCAAGTGTAACTAGCCTGACCTTCCTCTCTAAAAGAACTGCCCTGTGAAACAGAACGGCAAATCTGAACTCTTTTCAGGGTTCTAACCCATGTAACACTACTCAAATCAAGTGAAGGCTTCCAAGGACACGTTGGTGCTCACACTGAAAGACAAATGGGTCTGTGCCCATCACTGCAGAAAAGTCTCTCAAGAATTGAGAAAATACAATAAGCAAACGTGACAAAAAATAATCATTTACTCTACAGATGTAAGACAGACAGGCGCCTGCAAATGTCACCTCCGACACCAGGAGCTTGCTGCTCATGAACTGAAGCTAACTTTCTATACTCTTAGGGAAAACAATGAACTGGAAAGTGATCATGGCTGAAATTTCACCTACACTAGTATAGTTTTTCAGAAACTGAGTTACTGTAACCTCAAAGCTGAGCATTTCTCACAAATCTGAAAGAGCCTGAACAAGAGCTACTGGATCTTAAGGCAGGCCAGCTTGTACCTCCCAGCATCCTCTAGGGCTGAGTCATGACTGGATGGTATAAACGGGGTTGGACCTGAATACTAATGCCCACTATCCAAGTACAGACTACATCTCAATGTTGTTTGATAGTCAGTCCTTAAGGGACTAAAGCAGATATTTTAAAAACGTAAGTCAGTACCTAGAAAACAAATGCTGAATGGCAGTGGACTGCACCCTTTACTCATCTGCTTCAAACTTACCTTCTCCCCTCTTTCTTTTGACACTTGTCTTTTGTCATTCATATCACATTTGTTACCCAGGATCATTCTTTCAACATCTGAAGAGGCATGCTGCAGGGAGAAAGAGTGCAGTATAAGAACAGCCTGAGCGAGACCACCCCAACCTATCGGAAACATGGCAGCTTGTTCGGCAACAAGACTATCTTTCACTCAACACAAGCCTAATTCAAAAAGACGCTTAAAGGTAGAAGGGAGAATTACTTCAGCTCAGAGCCTTCACAGAGCCTATACAAACATCTTACCCCAAAAGGCTCACACTTATTCTCATAATTCAAATACAACAGCCAAATCTTCCAACAATTATTCCAGTCAAAAACAGAAGAAACTTAAGTACTGAGTCACCCAGTAGAGAAAGCAACCTGGGGTCTGAACTATTTAAAAAGATCAATTATATGAGTTCATTCAAATGTACTAAATTATTTCCTAGTCAGTTTCTTTCTGAAATGCCATGGAGATTTCAAAGAAAACTTAGTACCAACTATCCTGGAACTAACCCAAATTTCAACTATCTATGGAGAAAAAAATGTTAGAAAGGGAAAAAAGTTGCAGAAATCTATTTATTTATGCTAGTAAAAGAGATGGGAACCAGATATCTTAGCTGTAGGTCATCTTCCAGGCTCCATGGACACTGGCAAGTCACTCCTTCCTCACCTGTTTCCTTAGGGGAAAACCACGGACCCAGATGATGTTGTATAAGCTCTGACCTGAGTTTAAAAATGAAAACTCTCTTGTCTACTATCTCTATAGAGCTGTTGACCTGGCACCATTGGGGATCTGGCTTTCTTCAGTGGGCAGGGTGGGCCTGTCCTGTCCTTTCTGCCCCTCAGCAGCAGCCACCTCCAGGAGAAAGCGACAGCCCACCACATGCCCAGTACTTCTACTCCCCTTGCAGACATACCTCTTCAATGTTTCTTATCCAGTTTTTAATATTGTCAAAGGATTTTTCATTGGTGATGTCATAGACCAGCATAATTCCCTATGGGAGGAAACAAAAGGCTTTATGTCATATTTCATATACTTACAGCTCACAATGCAGGACATCTGTAGTCTTTAAATTTATTCATAATAAATTTGAAAAATAAAGAGGCAAAAACAAATGAATTCTGCTATTGTTTCACTGTCTAAATGAAATGTTAACATCTTCACTGTTAACTTTAAAGAATTAGTGATTGTGGGAAAGGTGAGCCGCTCTTTATACCTGACCTCATGATAGTGATCAGCACCAGCTGAAGCTTCAGGCCTGGCTAAGTCAGACAGCGAATGCTTAGAGGAAGAGGGACATTTCCAGGGCATAGTCACTTGTTACAAATGGAAACGATTCTTTTTCTCCCTCTACTGAGACTAAGACCATACTGTTCTAAATTTTTTCTTTCAATACAGGCTTACCTGTATTGAATACAGACTAACAATATAGGCTTACAAGGCTACCATTTGTCTTAACACTAATAACTCCTACGAAAGCATAATGTATTTATTACATGGGTTACTTAAGGCATTGTCATTGTGTTTTTAAAGATTTCCCTGCCTGGTAAAATCTAAAAGATTTATCTTCCAAATTAGTTCAAATAATGCCTCTATGCTAAGTACCCAGACCACTGTTCAGTATTGTGAGAACTGTGTGAGCCGGTCACGGTGCCCTTGCAGAAAAGAGACTGGAAGAGGTTAAGCATGAAAATAGGAAGACAACTGAAGACCAGGGCAACAGCTCCAGGAAAAGCTAACTGAGGAGAACCTAATAAGCTGGTAATGAGAGGAGGAGGTCAGGCTCGGAAAATACCGAGTCATAGCATCTCCAGGACCATTCTTCAGTACTGTGAGTGCTATGTGCACTTAAGTATCAATCCATTCAACAGTATGGAGTTGGCTGGCAGTACAGTGTAGAGTGCTTGCCTAGCGTGGGTAAATCCTCCAGCCTGATGTCCAGCACCGTAAGAGAGTAAACAGAGAGACAGAGATACTGATTTCATGGCTGATCAGGCACATGTCTGAAATTCTAACATTCAGGAGGCAGAGAAGAACTTCAGGCCTGCCTAAAAATACTGATTTCATAGCTGACCATGCACATGTCTGAAATCCTAACATTCAGGAGGCAGAGAAGAACTTCAGGCCTGCCTGGGATCCACAGTAAAACTTTATCTAAAATAACACACACACATCATAAAAAAAACCAAACAAACAAACAAAAAAAAACCTTCCAACTCCTCCCAAGAATTTGATGAATACCTACTATGTGCTAGATACTCTGCTTATACTAGATATTCTGAGCAGTGATAAGGATGACCAAGGTCCCTTCTTTTCAAGAATGATCAACAAAGAACACAGAGCAATATAAAGTTAACTAGAATTCTAACAATTGCTACAAAGAAGTATGGGGAACTTTGAGCTAAAACAACTGGGGCATAATCTTATCTAGTGAAAAGGCTCAAGTGAGGACAGTTTCTCTAAGAAAATGAGTAAATGAGTAAAGCCAAGGCATGAAGACCAAGAAGAGTCAACCCGACAAAAGGGCTGGGACTGATGAAGAAGGAAGCCCATGGTGCCTGCCACATAGCAAAACAAAAACAAAACAACAACAACAAATCCAATAGCATTCTGTCATTGAACATCCAGCATACACTCAACTGACTTCAAAGGAAGCTTAAGGGGCTGGAGAGATGGCTCAGTGATTAAGAGCACTGGCTGTTCTTTCAGAGGTCCTGAGTTCGATTCCCAGCAACAGCATGGTGGCTTGTCACCATCTGTGATGTGATCTGATGCCCTCTTCTGGAATAAAGGCATACGTTCAGATAGAGCGCTCAAATGCATAAAATAAATAAATAAAATCTTTTTTCTTAAAAAAAGAAGATACACAAATCTATTGGGAAGAGGGACAAGATGGGTCCAAGAAGGCAGACCAAGCAAGATGTCCTTTAGGGAACATTGTCTAGACAGCAGCTGTTAGCTATCTCCTATAGTCACCACAAATTCTCAGAAGTAAAATAGAAGATTGTGAGTCCTCCCAAATCTCCTACTCTTCCTTTACTATCACATGGTGAAGGGCAATAAAAGCCCAGCAGTGGCGTCAACACCTGGGGCTTCCCTCACAGTCAGTCCCTAGGACCTGAAGAGCCTGTGATTCAGTGTTTCCAGAGCCTGGCCTCCTCCACTCATGTACTAGATTATTAGATTCTCCTCAGTTAGCCTTTCCTGGAACTGCTGGCCCAATCTTCAGCTGTCTTCCTGCTTTCACTCTGACCTCTTCTGGTCTCTTTTCTGAATAGACACCCATGAGCAACTCAATGCTCAAACACTCACAGTACCCTCTACTGTTCTCAGAATTAAATTCCACAGTATGGCAGGCAAAGTCCTGCACAGGCTGGCTTCCAACTTTGTCCGTAACTATAAATGTAAACATATACAAATCATATAAAACACATTAGACAAAAAAGTCAAGAAATAAAAAATATTAAGAGTTCTCTCTCAGGAAGATAGGATTTGAGATGCTTTCTTGGAATTCCTAAAGCTTTTTTATACCACTTAGATCCACTTTTAACAGCAAGGGGGAAAGTATTGTTTTTGTTTGTTTAAGACAGAGTCTCACTACATAGTCTTGATTGATCTGGAACTTGCTATATAAACCAGCTGGCCTCGAACTCATAGAGATCTGCCTACCTCTGCCTCCTGAGTACTGGAAGAAAAGGTGTGTAATTTTTAAAATGACAAGCAATATTCTCCTCTATCCTACCCGTCCTTGCCTCAAATGCTCATTTTACTTTGGCTATATACTTTGTAAAAGATTTTTTTTAAAAAAAAATGAAAAAGTGCACTTTTAAAATGAAAAAATATGTTTTATGCTACCTATCATTTACCACAATAAAAAAAATAGCAATAATTACTGATGCAAAGTATTTCACTATCTACAGTTAAAATTAACCAAGTAACTACTATAGCACTATTATCTATCATTTGGGCTAAATGATACCCTGTCTGCCTCAAATGTCCCTTCCTTTGGTAAGCACAGAAATTGAACAGCATGGTGTGAAGGGTAGAGGCTCTCAAACTAGATGCTTCTAGTTTAGGTATTTAACAGGGAGATCCTGGAAAACAGTATTTTAGCTTTCTCGGTCTCCAATGTGAGATTCTTCTTAACTACTTAACCCAGAATTCAGGACATAACTTGGCCTCAACAAACAGCAGCTATTTATTACTAACTTACTCAGTAGCAAAAGTCATTACACTATTTCCTATGGTTGTAAGGTAACTGATATTAATACGAACCTGCTAGAAATATAAATTAACTGTACCAGGTAAACTTTATAGATCTAGTACAGTCTACAATGAGAATTGTTGCCTAAGAATTCAGAAGTTACTGGTCTATGAGAAATAACAATAATGTAAGGACATGGCCCTTCTTCCCCTTGCAGCCTAACTGTCCAATCAAGGTTTACTGTGAAGTCTGTAAATAAAACTAAGGAATCTACATAGTGGCAGACTCCAGAAGAATGTTGCATGCCTGATCCAACCAAGCACAGCATAGCCTGACCACACCTGCTGGGAATGGTACACTCCCTGCAAATACAACAGCCCTATAACTCAGGGGAACAGCCTGAGACCCAAGACTGCAACAGAACAGCATTTTTCTGGAGAGTCTTCCCCTGATTCACACTGTCAGCAAGTATTTACTGAGCATCTACTGTGTCTGGAACAGCAAAACAAAAGAGAAAAGTTCTACCTTCAGACTGGAAAAGACAGTACTATCCAGAATAGCGATGATCTGTAAGTATGTGAAGTAATAGGAAGGAAGATGAGGGAGTAGAAACATGAGAAAGCCAGATAATCCTTGAGGCTAAATTAAGTTACACATCCCACTGGCCTCTTTCTTTGCACCATGTCCTAGAGCTAAATATCCAAGCAAGACAGTCACTCCACAAGGCAGTGTTCCTGCCTACTCTCAAGGGAAAGGGAACATAGAAAGTGTGGGATCGCCTAGTCCCAGAATGTAAAACACTGGCCAACACAAACACTAGTGCGTCTAAGATGCTTCTAATCAAAAGGTTCACCAAAAGGTTTGGTGAACTACACCAAACCTTCCCTGTAAAAATGTTCTTTTTTATCTTCCTTGGAGAAACAAACACCAACAAATATATCCTTGGCTCACCCAAGGGGTCCCTTTCCTCTGATTCCAATCTAAGCAAAATAAAAGAGCAGCAGTCCCTCTCTTTATGATAATAAGAACACTTTACAATCTTAAAGGTTTAACTAGCTCTGGCTAGTTTGAGCATTTTCTTATTGATGGCTGATGCGAGAAGGTTCAGCCCACTTGAGAGTCCTGAGTACTAAAAAAGCAAAGTGAGCATGCCATAAGGAACAAGCCAGTAGCTAGTACTTCTCCATGGCCTTGGCATCAGCGCCTGCATTTAGGTTCCTGCCTTGAGTTCCTGTCCCAGTTTTCCTGGATGATAGGACTACTAGTTATAAGATGAAATAAATCCTTTCTTCCCAGTTGATTTTGATCACAGTACTTTATTGTAACAATAGAAACCCTAACTAAGACAGTATCACAGGGCCAAGTGTAGAAACACAGTAAACGGCTAGTGGTATGCTAATGTGTTAACACGAACCGTCATTCTTGTGGTAGAGATGAGTTACTAATACTCAAAAAATGGTAGACAAGGGGAAGTAGAGGAGGAAGAAGTGACAGTACTGTAGTGGAAGGACCTATAGATCCAGGCCACAGCTTCCTGGATGCAAAGGACAGCCATCACCCCTTCAGCTCTGTAACCTTCTGTCATTCCCAGGAATCTCAGTAGCTGTACCTTACAACCTATCAGGTGGGCTCCATGAGCTTAATGGTTTAACTTTCAAAGACTGTCTGAGCATATCATCAAAATTTAAGGCTCAAACTTGGGCTTGGCTTATGTCTACTTAATTTATTTGGTTTTTGGTACAAGAGAGTTAACATCAGGCACATCAACTGCATGTTCTACCACTGAGCCACATCCCCAGACTCAGGCCTAAAAGCTAGCGATGAAGTTCTATTCTGGGCCTGACATTCCAAGCACGGCCATACACCTCAGATTCCAAGTTGCTCACCACCACTGTATTCCCCACACCACACAAGACCTGCCCAGAATCAGCAGACACTAAATGCATTAAGTAGAGAAGCATGTGAGGGCAGAAATGGTGACGGAACTATGATAATTAGGACATGGTCAGGAGGAGCCCAGAAGGTCCTAGCAGCCAAGGTCCTCTAGAGTTATGAATCATTCAGCCACTTCCTTAGCCAGGCAAAAAGCCATAATCAAGGCCAGGTTGCAGGGGTGGAGAGAGATAAAGAGTGATATGGCTATAGGACTGAGGGGTAAAAGAGTACAAGAAAGAAACACTTAGTCAAAGGTTTGTGGTTTGCGAAGACTGCCATCAAGTACTAATAAAAGGAAAAAAGATAACAAAAAATATAAAAATACCTCAGCAGAATGTAGAGGAGTTCTAGAATATCTAAGAGTTAATGGCTTGATTACTTATTATAAACACTAATATAAAAATATAACTACTAAAAATCAAATACAATTTCAAAACCCTTAAAATCTCTTGATTTCACATTTATTTTTTTTTTTCACTTTAAAAAAAGTTTATTTTTTTTTTTCACTTTACTTTATAGGGAGGAGAGGAAGCCCTTACTGAATTTGTGAGAATCAAATGGAGTCCCGACGGAATGTATATTATTGACAAGGACACAATGCCCTGGACTCATAGGAATTATGAAAGGAATCATAGGAATTATCAAAGCCTTCCTCTGGTCTATGTGTGAATGTTGATAGTGTACAGGAAGCATCTATGAAGACTGCCGTTTCCTCTTCCCAGATATCCAGTGCCTAAACTGCCCCCAGATGACATTAGCCACACTCCTCCTGTGGAGACAAAAGAGCCCTTCTTCCTCTTCTGTACACTGCCAACACTCTGATACGGTGTGTGCACGTGCTGATTCATCAAAGCAAGCACAGCCACTGAAGCCCAGCTTTTCTGTCTGTCTGTTTGTCCTGTCCTCATTCCCTGTTTGCTCCAGTCAGGTTTCCAGGACCAAGCTTGCCTTGCTGAAGAAGGTAGTTCTAGACTCTAGTTTCATAACTATATATAGGCAATGAATACCCCTATTTTATTTTCGCCTGACAGCATAAAAACCCCAAAACCCACTCACCATGGCTCCTCTATAGTATGCTGTTGTAATTGTTCGAAATCTTTCCTGGCCTGCTGTGTCCCTAAAATTTGAAACAAAGAAAGAGTGATTTAAAAAGTTACCAGCAACACAGGTGAGGACCCCAAGTTACATGAGATAGAATCCCGATCTGCTCCCAGTGCAGGGTGGCTGGGAAAAGGAGCCTGAGACACAGACAGCACACTGTGCCTTGAGAGCCAGAGGCAGTGGTGGCCACTGGAGTCTGTCAGATCTCACAATGACTGGGATGAGAACCAGGACTTGATGCTAAAAGCATCAACAGGAAACCAAATACATAGGTCCGTAGGAACTGGCATGTGGGAGGAAACAGAGAATAGCTCTAAACTCTTGGGCTCCTGGAGGCAGCGACAGTCCTTTCTCTAAGTGCTACATGATTAAGGCATTCTGCTTTCTTGACTGCATTGTGATTTCTGTACAAAGCAAACTGCTGAACCGGACTTACAAATGTGTACATTCTGCTCAGCAGAGCAGAACAAAGCATGCCTCCTCCAGAACACTTTCAGAGCAGAGCCTGCAGTTAACCACACAGGAACCTGGAGTCTAACATCATTCTCGAAGTTCCCAAAGACTAAACATAAACATCTCAAATTTTTAATTTGTTTTTTAAATTCACAGTAGCCTGAATCAAGGCAAGGCATTATTTGTTTTCTTCCTTGCTTTTTCAGTTAAATAGGCTCTAGTTAATAAATTATGAAATACCAGGGCTATTGAAGACCTCTATTCTTTATCAATGTAACTCATTTACAGGTGAGAAAAAGCAGGGCCTGGAAAGACACAATGGTTTGGAGAAGCTTCCCCCAAAGGCCACATCTTCAAGGCTTAGTCTTTGGGGTGGTGATACTGAGAGGTGAAGGAATCTTGACTGGGCTTAGTGGGAAGCACGTTCTTCAAGTGAACTGTAGCATCCTGGGTCCTACCTTCCTAGCCTACAAAGTGTGCTCTGCCATGCATTCATTCCCTGCCATTGCTATCCAGCACCTCATCAGAGATCCAAACCAATGGTTCCACCAAACCTAAGACTAACTGAACCAAAGCAAACCATTTTTTCTTTATAAATCCTGTGTCTTAAGTATTCTCTCTCTTCTTCTTCTTCTTCTTCTTCTTCTTTTTCTAGACAGGGTTTCTCTGTGTAGCCCTGGCTGTCCTGGAACTAACTTTGTAGACCAAGCTAGCCTTGAACTCAGAGATCCACCTGCCACTGCCTCTTGAGTGCTGGGATTAAAGGTGTGCACCACTACTGCCCAGCAAGTATTCCATCTTAGTGACGGAAAGAAGTCCTTAATTTAAGATACTGTGGCTAGAAGAAGTCCATGGTCTGTGACACTCAGCCATTTTGCTGCATCTAAGTCATAGTGGCAACTCCAATGAAGAACTATTTTATGCTTTTGAGAATTTGTTTCTTCTTGTATAGAGGTTTGGAAGGATGGGCTCTGGACCTCTTCTGGATCAGTTCTGCTCCTCACCTCCCCTCTCTGCCACAGAGGGATGTGCAGCGCTTATTTCCCTTGGTTTTTATAAAAGAAAGATCTGAGGGATTGCACAATGTCTCTAATACCCTGAATCACATTTTAACCCCACTTTCAGGTCCCAATTCAAATAGAAACTCCATGTGTCTTTTTTTTTTTTACTTACCATATCTGAAGCTTAATTTTCTTTCCATCGAGTTCTATCGTTCTGATTTTAAAATCAATCCCTGCCAGAAAACAAAGAAGGATATGCTAAGTTCCTCAGATTCAATCCAAGTCTTATTAGGGAGGGAACAAAGATTTCTATTGAAGAAAAAAAGCTCTCCAACGCACTGGAAAATGTGAGTGCACAGAGGGTGTGAATGGCATGTTTCCCCTGAATACAGGCTGGGGAAAGGAATGCTGATCCCTCTGCAGAGCATTCCCACACATGTGAAATGCAGGATTACAGCCTCATTATCTGGGCACAAATGGACTACATCCTGCAAAGTTACATAACTCAGAAGAACTGAGAACATATTTTCTCCTTCCTGAAATATATATACACAATGCTTTCAGTCCACATGCCCCAACCTTTCCCTACAGAAGGCCATGGAGCCTCTTTAAAACAATTTTCTTTCCCTCTCTTCATTTGCTTAGTCAGAACCTGCAAACTTAAGAAAAAATAAAAAGAGACTCCGCCCATTTCATGACAAGGGAGGGAAAGCTTTTTCTATTTCATACAATTAGGAGGGACTTCATAGACATCTTAACAAATGTCCCAATGAATTACCGCCTGGAAGTGAAACAGCCACCGTGGTTTTCAGCCCTGGCCAACTTCAGAATTCCAGAGAGAACAACCATGACAACAAAGAGCTCACTTGACTAGGCCTGCCTCCTCCCAAACTGCTGACACCCATTGAGTCAGTCACAAGCAATTCTCAAAGCTCCCAGTGTAATGTGAACCTGAAGCCAAAGCTTAACAGGCCTGAAGGGTGACACAGGAAATCCTTTGGGACTCTGGCACTTCAAACGTTCACCATCTCCTCACCTATCCCCAAATCATGACAGCTTAAAACTTGAAAACTTCCTTAGGAATTCTACTACAAAGAAGTCAAAACCCTTGTCTTATCAGCATGCTTTAACATTTATCAGGAACTTTTTTTTTTTTTGAGATATAGGGTCTCATTAGCTCAGGCTGGCCTCAAATCACTATGTAGCTAAGGATGACCCTGAATTGATCTTGCTGCTTCTCTACCTTCCAAGTGGTGGAACTGCACACGTGCACACCACTCCACCACCCCAGCTTGCTTATGCAGTGCTGGGGAACCTAGGCCTTTCTACATGCTGGGTAAGTAAGCACTCTCCCAACTGAGCTATGGCTTCAACCTCAGGAATAAGGGCTTCTGTGGCGATCAGAGATGAATACAGCTTGGCAGCAATTTGCTAAATCCCCCTCATCTGGCCACCCAGCTGTGTTTAGTTGCCCCCCCATTCTTTCACCTTTTAAAACACTGAACTCAGTCTCCAATAGTTTTCAACAACACATATAAACTGTGTGTCCTATAAATGGTCTTGAACAGTAACCGCAGCATTTGGAGTGTGCAGGGGTATTACGCAGCCATGTATAAAACTTCTTCACAGGGAGGTGGAAAGCACCCAAAAAGACTGCTTCCCAGTTCCAGCTCTTGGTAATGCATATGCATAAACCAACAGGATTTCACCCTCTTCTCCGTGTGGTACTTTTCCATGAGGAAGCCTTTGTAGATTTCTGGGTGTAGAAACAGACAAAAATGCCACCCCAACTGAGCTATCAAACTAGCCTCTTAATCATTCTTTTCTCTCACTAATGGCCCTGGACTGAGCAAATACAATCTGATCCCAGTGTTCCCGGGTTACATGGCTCCATTTCTTCTACAGTAGTTAGTATTGCAGGAGTAATTGGTAATATAAGCAAAACTTGGCACCGAAGCATGACTATTAGTGCTAGCATCCCACAGCACCTATGGCTACCCTCACTTGTTTCAGATGTAGACACTAGTTTTTATTGTGACCGATTTTTAAAAAATATCTCCAAATCCAGTGTAACAATGACCCTGTAGAAACCCTCTTTTTAACAGGCAAGGTGGCTAATGGTAATAGCACTTTTCAACCTGAGTTCAGTGTTGAATCTCACAGTAGAAAGAGAGAACTAATTCCTTTCAGTTGTTCTTTGCCTTCCATACATGGGAGTCGCAGGTGTGTGCCCAGTGTACCCCTCCCCCACCACAGATACACACAAACCTCGAGTACAAAATAAACTAAAACCAAAACCTACCCTTTCCTTTTTTGGCCCCCACTAAAGAACAATGCCTAACACTCAGTAGGCATTCAATAAATGATTCTTGAAATTAACATTAGAATGTTTTTAATTATGTGTATATGTGTGGGTGTATGTGCGTGCAGAGGTCAGAGGTGCTGATTTTCTGGAGCTGGAGTTACAGGTGGTTATGAGTCACCTTATATGGATACAAGGACTTGAACCTGGTGGTAGACACCTTTCATTCCAGCACTCAGAAGGCAGAAGCAGGTGGATCTCTGAGTTTGAAGCCAGCCTGGTCTACAGAGTGTGTTTCAGAGCCATGCCTCAAAACAAAACAAAAGAAACAACAGCCTAGGTCCTCTGGAATAGCAAGTACACCTAACTGGTGAGGCACCTCTCCAGCCCAGAAATTAACATTAAAAAAAAGAAACAATATTCATGCCTTTCCAGATCAGAGAAATAAAGCCAGTAGGAGGGGCAAAAGGGACTAGAAGGTAAGAAGTTGGACTTCAGATCTGCAAGTTCTGAAGTGTACGTACCTCAATCAGGAAGACAGTACCCATCACTAAGCTGTATGCTTCAAAATGGGTAGGCAGTGGATTTGTGAAGTGTGTTTTTTGCCACATTAACTCAAACCAAATTTGGCTTCATTCTCAGATGCTCTAATAGATTGGGGGAAACCACAACTTAACTCAGTACTAAGATAACTCGATTTGCTTTATAAGGAAAATGGTCTCAGTTAATCTCATCAGCCAGGCTTTAGTGAAACCAGGCTCAAAATAAGGCAAATGTCAAAAAGTTTTTAGTCAATGGGTGTAGTGATATTTTATTTGTATTTTAATAAATAAAGCTAGACTGAAGATCAGAAAAGCAAAGTAGTCCACCACTAGAGAGACCTTTACCAAATCTTCAGACCAACAGGGCGAGATCCTGTCTCCAGGAATCTTCAAACTCCACACTCCAGTCAGTTCCTGTTTCTTCCCCTTTACATTCCTCTCTGCCCATCCAGATCGCTCCGTCTCCACCTCCCTAGTGCTGGGATTAAAGGTGTGTGACTCCCAAACACTGGGATTAAAGGTGTGAGTCGCCACCACCTGGATCCATTTCTGGACTGAGATTGCGTAGTCACAGAGATCCCTATGCTTCTGTCCCAGTCTCTGTCTCCCGAGTCCCGGGATTAGAGGTGTGTACCACCACTCCCTGGTCTCTAGTGGCTTAGTGTTGCATTCTGTTCTGAAGGCAAACTTTACTTATTAAATACAAATAAAATATCATTACAAATGAGCTGTCTCTGTACCTCACGTCCCTTTTCTGTAATTGTTATCCAGCCATGTAACAGACCAGTCCTAGAGTATCATTGAACCTACCCTGTTCTAGGAGCTATCTGACTCATGAATCATTCTGGGCTCATAAAATGTCATTAAATGTAATTTGTTTAAAGAGTGGTTTTCTTTCTTTCCTTATTATTAGCATATGTGTGAGAAAGAGCTCTAGTGTGCACCACAGCTGAGCATGGAGGTCAGAGAACTCCTTGTGAATGTTGGTATTTGGCATTAGTTCAGCTGCAGCGTATTATAGCGGATTAGCTAACTTAGAAAAGCAATCAGAACCTTTCAGTAAAAATGGAGGGTATTAATAGTACTGATAAGAACTGAACTGGGAAGTGAAAGACCTAGACAGAAGGCTTAACTATTCTGGACTGGTGTATCCTTAACTATCAAAAAACAAACCAAAACAAAAAAACTAGGAAGGAATACATTCCATGTATCTATTTTATCTGATATAGGGCGCGTTGCATGGGGGCCTGAAAACAGCTTGTGGGAATCTGGTCCCTGTCCACCAAGTACAGAGGCTCAACTCAGGGTGACAGACTTTACAGGGCTTTACCCATCTCACCATCTTGCTTTTTCTTTTCTTTTCTTTTCTTTTCTTTTCTTCTTGTTTTCATTTTTGTTTTTTTAAACTAGGTCTCTTACTCTCTTACTTGACTGGAACTTGTGATGAAAGGTGAGGCTGGCTGGCCAGCGAGATTGGAAGTTTCTGAGCATTGGGATTTCAACATACAACTTTAAAAAAAAAACAAAAAACATAGGATTAAACTTGGGTCTTTGCGCTTGGAACTTTCTGTCTAAGCTCCCTCCCCAGTCCCTGGTGTCTCATTTTTTAAGGGCATATTCTGGTAGGCTAAGGCCAAATATCTGCAGTAATCACTGCCATGGGACTTACCAAGATTAAACTAATCTAAATTCATCCAAGATTTAGGTTAAGGCCCATCTTAACTCAAAGAGTGAAAAGCTTGTTTGACATAAATCATATATTTTTATAATATTCAAATATATTTCATTAATGAAATTTCATATTTGCATCCATGTGAAATGGGCAAACCATAACCTGTGTCACCATTCCCTGTCACAAACATCCCTCCATTTACTGATTAACTATTGTAGTTTTCCGACGGTAACTTCACTTAGTGCTTAATCACCAACCAGAAAATAAAAAGGCAAGATGGTGAGCAATCCAGGAGTCTGACACATCCTCTTCTAAACTCTGATGGTTCCAGCCAAGACAGTCCTCCAGCTCCCCGGCTCGTCCCTGTTCCCCAAATGACCAGAAGCTGGACGCAGGAGGAACTGTCACAAAGCCAGCACCAACGACCACAGTGAGGTGCGTGAACACACATCCAGGCAAAACACCCTCACACACAGATAAAATAAAAAAAGTTAAAAGAATAAAATCGAAGAGAACAATTGCATCTCTAGAAACACAGCTTTCTGAAGCACTATATTTCCTGATTCAATAGACTTTAAAGAGCATCAAATTATACAATAATTTGTGTTCAAAACAACTGCTCTCTGTCAGCCTGACTCATGACCACTCCACGAACACAGACTACGTGAGTGTGGCCTACTAGATGGCAACCTAAACCAACATCTACCTCAGGAGACTAGAGTTGAGTAAACCTAATAGGATTTTTTAGATGGTTTTAAAACAGACTTACTTTTCCCATTAAAATTTATCTATTCAAATAACACAGGAAACATACTGTAAGAAAATATACCCAAGGGATTCAGGCCATTTTCATTTTGACAGTTTTTTTCTGAATTGATTCTTATGCTAAGTGGCTGCTTATAATTGATCATGTTATTCACTATAAGGAGGCAGAAGAGGGGATAGGACCAAGAATCATATGTCTGGGAAGAACCTAGGAGATTAATAGCACAGGTTTGCTTTTATGAAGAAGAAAATAGATCCAGATAGATGCAGAATTTAATTAGTCATAAAACCCAATACAAATGATGAATTAAAAATTAAATTTTGTGTTCTCACTTCGGCAGCACATATACTAATATTGGAACAACACAGAGATTAGCATGGCCCCTGCACAAGGATCCCACACAAATTTGTGAAGCGATCCATATTTTTTTTTATCCACTTGGCACTTAATCTTAAAGTACTGCCTTGTAAGGGAATCATTAGAGATGCCAGGTAATATAATGGCAATGAGATTTATTTTTTTTAAAAAAAAATCAAAAAACATTTCTATTGTGTGTGTAACGTGATTATGGGTTTTTTTTTTAGGCCATGACAGATACATGGAGCCTGGAAGACAACTTTGTGAGATCTATTTTTGTCTATCTTTACCTGGTGATCAAGGTCAGGTTGCCAGCCTTGCACACCACAGACATTTCCCACTGAGCCACCTCACTGATGTTCACATAAGGTTAGCTGATACATTATACCAATAAACTATGGTCTTCTTCTCAGATTACAAACATGCTGTCATTTAAGGATGGAGGAAAACAAGACAATATGAATAAAAAATCCTATTTGCAAATAAAAAATTAAATTTTGTTATTTTAAGATCATGACTGCACCAAGAGACATGAACAAGAATGTCCAGGTCTTGTGACACCTGTTCTTTAAAGGCCATGGGAAAATACTGGCAACACCGAGATGTCCACCACCAGGAGAGGAATACCAAGAACACGCTCTTGGTATTCGAAGAGCGAATGCTCTGAGGCACTAACAATGCCACATCTATCAACAAGGCTGAACCTAACAAAACACAGCATTAACTGAGAAAAAAAGTTGCAGAAATATAGTCAAATTATTACTGGAAATATTTAAAACTGCTAAAAATAAAGTCTGTTTCATTAGCACATACATCCATCTGTAAAGGAGTACAATTATACTTACATCAATTAATAATTAAAGCATAAAACATGGGGCTGGAGAGATGGTTCAGCAGTTAAGAGCAACAGCTGCTTTTCCAGAGGACCTGGGAGTTCAATTCCCAGCATTCATATGGCAGCTAACAACTGTCTATAACATTAGACTCAGGGAAATCCAACTCCCTCTTCTGGCCCCATAGACACTGCACACAAGATATTTGTGCCGGCAAAATACCATACACATAAAATAAAAATTTTTAAAAAGCTTAAAATATGCATGAAAATAGTTGGTAACAAATTAAATAAAATAATAAATAGTAAAATAATTATTACTTCTGGAAAGAAATTAAGGGAGTATTAAATTGAGGATCCACATGGGGATTGATTCTATATTAACTAATTTTTAAAAAGATTTATCTTTAAATTGTGTGTGTGTGTGCATATGCGTGGGTGCACACATGAGTGCAGGTCCTTATGAAGGCCAGAGATGTTGGATTCCCCTTAGCTGAGGTTAGACCATGATATGGGTGCTGGGAATTGACTTCAGATCCTCTAAATGAACAACATGTGCTCTTAACTGTTGAGCCATCTTTCCAGCACTATAATTTCACTACTTTTAAAATCAAGCAATGGGTACGTGGATTTGAGTGTTTTATATTAGCAGTGATAGGTACTGGATCCCCAGTTGCTGGGTTCCTCTGCCATAGATGCAATAAGCCAAATCAAACCTAATTGATAAAATCTAGGTTAAATGAACAGATCAAAGTAATGCCTGGGTGACCCTTGGAAAGGCAAGGTAGTGATCATGAGACTACCAGGTCTTATATAGCCTGTAGGCATGGTCTTGAGCAGCCCCAGGGAGGGGGGATGATTTTTGGAAGGCTTTCTCAGGGACAGGATTTGGAATGGGAGGAGTGAGACCAGAGCATGAACTGCCCCTAACTGGAGATCCCCAACATCCCAACCTTTTTGGGTATGTATGGATGGTGGGAGAGCTTCCACCTAAACAACAGAACTTTCATGTATATGTAAGACTTTAAAACTTCTTTTTGTTTACATGTGTATACATGTGTGTTGCCTTTGAAAGAATAAGCATATGTGTGTAGATGTGCGTGCATATGTGTGTGGGTATCTACAGAGGCTAGAAGAGGAAGTCAGCTCTTGTTTGGAGCTGCAGTTACAGGCAGTTACAAACAAAAATGCTTTTTGAAAACAAATATTATGGTTGGATGATGCCTCAGTGGGGTGATCAAGCATGAGGACCTTAAACCCATGCTAAAAATACTAAAACAAAAGATCGTGGATGGCACTATGTATCCACAACCCCAGCAAAGCACAATTCCAAGACTACGTTTACTCCAACCAGCCTAATCAAAACAAGTTCCAGGTTTGTGGAGACATCTGCCTCCAAAACATAATGTTAAAAGTCATTAGCAGTGAACTCTGAGCTCCCCAAATACATACACATAAAATAAAAGGTAAAAATAAAAATGTAAAACAAATATTGATTGCTTGGAAAACAAAAAAGAAGGCAGACATCCATTCACAATACACAGGAAAGCCATCCAAGTTTTAGTAATGAAAGGGACTTAAAAAGATCTAGCCGCAGACAAAACAGGCCCTGCCAGCCTTGTTCAATATAGAGGGCCTGTGAGCCCTATAACGTTACCATGTTGGGTAGGTACTCTGTGTGTGTGTGAGAGAGACAGAGAGAGAGAGAGACTGAACCAGAGAGAGAGAGAGAGAGAGAGAGAGAGAGAGAGAGAGAGAGAGAGAGGATCAGATAAAGGAGTCCTGATTTTTCATTCAAAAGAAAAAGAAGGAGATGCCCATTCCTTCCCCCATGGCGTAAGAGACTAGCACTCTAACATCTCTGAGAAGAAAGCATTTTATTGGGATACCCACAGGACTCGGGGCTTCAAGGAACTAGAGAGGTGTGGTGTGGAGTGTGTGCCCATTCACAGTACTGCTTATAATACAAGTCTCAGAAACCAGTGAGGCAGCTGGAGTCAGCTGGAAAGATGAGTTTCACCAGGACTGGATTGGAAACACGGAGCGCAGCTCAACCCATAGTAGACAGACTTCACAGAATGGGCCACCTTTCATCCTGCAATTTAGAAAAAGTTTAACACGGAGGAGCTACTCCGAAGTATTTCACAATGAAGTAGAACTAGTTGACAGCTGTGAATATACTAAGCACCTCCCCCAAGAAAGGAGAGGCTGCCCTGGGTTAGTGGCAGGGCGAAAGGAAACCACTGGCTGAGTGTGGGAAAGACTGCTTTTAGGCTGGCCTTGGGAACTCTCTATGCGGGGCAGCAGGCCAGGCCTCCTGACCTTCAGCATGAGCTGTGACTTGATGTACTCTGTACTGTGGGTGCGACAGTTTATAACTATACTCAACCTTCCCTGCTCTGGAGACTCCTGGAACTCTTATCAGGGGGGTGAGGGTGGGGAAGAGGCCTGCTGCCTGAATCATTAAAATTAAAATCATTAAAAACTGAGAGGTCTTCAACCGGATTTTCCCTACCTGTTCCTACTGAAGCTTAGCAGTTTGCTGTTGTTACATTAGATTTTGTTTTCGGTTCTCATCTTTTGGCTGCAGGCACTAGAACCACGGTGGGAAGGTACATTATCTGGATCACTCAGCCTTTCAATAGATGACAGCAAAGCACAATTCCAAGACTACATTTACTCCAAGCACTGAACATTTTTCTACATCAATTGTACATTCCCTTTGATGCACTTTAAGAGGCAGAAATTTAACATTGTGTTTTTACAAGTGAAAAGAAAAAGATTTATTTCTGTTTAAAAGCACAACTGAAAACAGCTGGAACCCCAAGTTGTCTGCATATGCGTTATATGGTTTGTTGGTTTACATTTCTGAGCTATGTCAGAGGAGAGCTTCCCAAATATTGAAATCTGCTTCAGAGAAACCTATATATACTCTCTTAATTACAAAGGTTGATTTTTTTTTATTTTACATAAATTGGTACCCTCAGAGGTCAGTCAGATCCCCCGAAACTGTAGTTCCAGGTGGTTGTGCTGGGATCAAATACAGGTCCTCTGGAGCAGCAGCAGTGCTCTTTACTGAGGAACCATCTCTCCAGCCCCCGTTTTTGGTGTATGGGTCAAGAGCCTTGCTATTTAGCCTAGGCTGGCCTCAAGCTCAGGATCTTCCAAGCCAGCCTCCTAAGTGGTGGGGCCACAAAGATTTTTACTATTAGCAATTCAGACGCAGTACAGGCCGCTTATGCCAATTTCGAAACTCTCTGCCAGCCACATTTTGCCTAGGCTTGTGTGTACTTCTGAATATGGAGAATAATGAAATTTGAGCTGGCTTCTAGGTGGTTACATAAAATCTTTAACTAGTGAAATTGGAAAAAATGAGTCACAGACTTTCTTTAAATATTTTTTACAAAGAAAAAAACTTGGAGAAATGTGTAAAAGTAGAATTATAATTAAGAATGCTATTTAGATTTTAAAAGGGAGGGCTAAGGCATTATTCTTTTATAAACATTCTGTGAGTTTTAAATCTATTGTCACCATATAGTCAGAGCTGCCTACTTTTGTATTCTTATATTAAAATTTACCATTTGCCTTCCAGCTTGAAAATCTTAGTCTAATATATAAGAGGCGAACATTTAGATGAGACTTTAGATAGCACTGAAAGCCATGCATATTGTATTACTCAGTTAAGCTGATGCAAAGGGAACTGTGAAGGTGAACTAGCAAGGGCTCAGAAACACGACTTACCATTTACAAGACTCCTGACAGCCGGGTGGTGGCGGCGCACGCCTTTAATCCCAGCACTTGGGAGGCAGAAGCAGGTGGATCTCTGAGTTCGAGACCAGCCTGGTCTACAAGAGCAGGTTTCAGGACAGGCACCAAAGCTACAGAGAAACCTTGTCTTGAAAACAACAACAACAACAACAACAAAAGACTCCTGACATACTAACAAATGCAGTGGAACTTTTCACAGTTCTTCACTTCTTCTACTCTATGAACAGGAAGTGGCAAACTAAGACCATCTGTGGGAGAAATTAACCCTGACACAAATCACCACTTCCTGGTTTAAAAAGCTGCAGAGCTTTGCACTATTTTAGAATTTTCTACTTATATCTCAATTAAATAAGACAGCTGTACCCATTAGATCTGATCGGACTAACAAAAGATGAGAAATCAGGAGTTAGTCCTACAACCTAGGGAAGAATCCTCAATTTTTCTTCAGGCCATAACATACATGACAGAATAAAAGCCGAACGGTGAAGCGCTGCTGGGGAGAGAATTCTGAGCCTTGGAAATACTAAGCAAGTACTGTACCAGTGAACTATTGTCCTGAACCCGTGTGTGTACTTTAACAACTTATGTGTATGTGTATGTGCTTCTGTCTTAGTGTTGCTGTGACAAGCTAACCATCTGGGTTTTTGGAGGAATGTGGAAGACTAGAAAAGCAATTGTACACTGTAAGTGGGGTTAAGAGGCCATCCCAGTTGGAGCTTTCTAACTGTAGAGTTGAGAACTGCGTAGAATTTGGAGACCTCGCTCAAGAGACTTCAGAGAACAGTGTTAGCAATCAGACTAGAGACAATTCTTGTGACAGTCTTGCAAAGACTGTGGTTGCTTTCTGCCCCTGTCCTAAGAACCTGCCTGAGGCTAACGTAAAGAGTTTTGTACTAACTTTGTTGACAGAGGTGGTTTCAAGACAGCCTGATATTAACTCCATTATGTAGTTATGAGTGGTCACTCTTATGCAGGTCTAAAAGAACAAGCAGGGCAAAAAAATAAAAATTTACACTTTGAGAAGAAAAAGTACATCAGGAAATTTAATGTTGTAACCAAGTCTTATGCTCAAAGGTATGAGAAGTTTAAATAAAGGTCTGATGTCAAATGAAACAAAGGAAGCGGTGACTCAAGGCAAGACCAACTTGTCTTAGTTGCTTTTCTGCTGCTGTGAAGAAACACCATGACCCAGGCAACTGAGAGAATCAAGTTTACTGGGTGCTCACAGTTCAGAGGGTATGGAAATGATCAACCTGGAGGAAAGCATGAAGTGGGGATGGGGGAGAACAAGCATGCATGAACCTGGAGCAGCAGCTCAGAGCTTAATCCTGATCCACAAGCACAAGACAGAGAGAGCTAACTGGGAACGGTATGGGCTTTTGAAACCTTTTACCTGCACACATACATGTACCTCACACACACATGCATATGCTCACAAGTACTTATACACACACAGGAAATGTGTCTCAAGTGTTAGTCTGGAAGTAACGATGAGTTTGACATTTATCATGAGGGGAATTTAAGATGTGAACAGATGTTTTGTCTTCAATCAAATCTTTGTTCACAAAGAATCTTCTATGTGAACTCTTCTTGAAAAATCAAAGTTCGGAAAGCTCTGAGATTTCCATTTTCTCTCCGTGATTAACTCATGATCACCTCAAAAACCAAACTTCTCGAAAACGAAACCAGCTGCATCTCCTCTGCTCCATCCATGTTGCCAAGAAAGTCACCTCTGCAACAGGAAAACCTCTATACGAGTCACCAGACTCTAAGCCAGGAACTGCCTTGTCTGGACTTTTAACAATTCAGTCGGGCTTGTTCACTTAGAGGTTAAGGAAAAACTACAGTCACTGGAAAAAAAAATCTTAAAAACAAACAGCAAATCCCTCACTTTACACATTACTGCAATGGGGAAAAAAAAAAGATTGCCAAATCACTCGAGTTAATTCTGGGAAAAATGACAACTACATTCCAATGATGCTGAAAAAAATAGGCATCAAGACATGGACTGGATCTCTGGATCTCCCCATGTACCCATGTACTGAACATTATCGTTCTATCCATTCATTTAGAAGCTGAGAAGAAAGACTAGAAGTCAGGTGTAGTGGTACATGCCTTTAATCCCAGCACTTGGAAGACAGAGGCAGATCTCTGAGTTTGAGGCCAGCCTGGTCTACAGGGTAAGTTCCAGAACAGCCAAAGCTACATAGTTGAGACCCTGTCTCAAAAAAACAACAAACGAAGAAAGGGAGGGAGGAAGGGAGGGAAGGAGAGAGAGAGGGAGGGAGGGAGGGAGGCAAGGATGGAGGGAAGGAGGGAGAAAGAAAAAGGAAAGACTAAAATAACAATTAAGTCACAATATGACAATACAAAAACTGCAAACAAAGGATAGTCATGTTCCCTCTCAGACTCAGTTCTTTAAGTAGGAACTATAAAGAGTGTTATCCATGCCATGGGGCTGAAACAACCTTAGCAATAATTTGATTGTTTTCTAGGAAAATTCTGAGTCACTTTGTTTACAAAAATTTTAGGTTATATAGTGCAAAATATAAAACTTAGAAATTTACCTCCCCCAGTTAATATGAATCAACAAATTGGGGAAGGGAGCAGGAGAGGAAGGCCTGTACCAAGTTACTGGAGGAAGAAAGAGAACTCTAAAGGCATACTCGTTCCTTCCCAGCTACCCTCTCTGTGGAAACACTCAGTAACTAGAGGTTGTGAAATCAACCCAAGAGAAAACTCAGCTCTGAATCTAGTTGGCAAAGCCTTTCCTTCATCAAGTCCATTGGCATCCCAATGCTGCAGAAGAAGCCACTGATACCAAGCAATGTTAAAACCAAACGATGGAGTATGTGACAGTGAATAGAACAAAATCAGCAGAAATAACACAAGTAGAACACTATTTTTCTAATAAAAATGGAAAACTACTAATGATTACATCATTCTGATTTGTAAGCACATTCCCTTCTGATACAATAATTTAAAGCTCACAGCTGTGAGTATCATGTTTTGAATCTGAACTGTACCTCCAAGGTTCATGTTCTGAACACCCAGTCCTGGGCTGTGGGTGGAACACTGAAAGTTGTGGAACCTTTTGGTATGACCCAGCTAATGGAGGTAGCTCACTAGGAAGGTCATACTCATTTGGGATTCATGTTTGGCCACAATGTGAGGTACAGGCTCAGGAAAGCAGCCATGCCTTTGCTGCCATGACAGACTGAAATCTTTTGTAACTGTGAGCCAAAATAAATCTTTGAAGATGTCAAGAATCTGGTCACATGCATGCAGAAGTAATTAGTACACTTTATACCCAATGAGTCTATCCATGTATGTAGTCAGTTCCCACCTTAAGATGATTAACCATTTTTGTAACTTTATAGGTGCTGAAGGATTCTGTAAAAATTTCTTCCCTGGTTTAGTCTTTAAAGAAAAAAAAAGGAAGAAAGAAAAAGAAAAAAAGAGTTTTAAAAACAGCAATTAGCTTGATAAATCTTAAGATCTTTCATCTAATTCCAGACTAGAGATTTATTCTGGTCTGGCCCAGGGATGAAGATGAACACACACATTTTCTTTAATGTCTTTTGTTCACCCAGCTATTTGCCTCCTTAAGCTTTAAGAACACAAAGAATGTGGAACAACTATATTTAAAGTATAAAATGTGGGAGTTGTCGACACATGCTGCAGCAGATTTCAAGTTTAATCTGTATTTCCGTATTTCTCTGCTGCAGGATTCCAGTATGCAAACAAGAGGAGTGCGGGAAAGGAGAAGAAATCTTGCAGCACGCTCATGAGCCATTTTACAACGCCACCCAGACACTGCCATGGTCAGAGAACCTTCAGTACCATGCTCCACACATATTCTTAAAAGACCAAAGACACATTTCAAAATATTTTTCAGCTTTAAAAAAATAAAAACAGATTTAAACTAGGGACTAAGATAAAGGCCTCTCTAGCCCTCTGATAGCTAAGAAGGGGCCACGCACACTCCTGCCCAGGCATCAGTGTTCACCGGGATAGTGCCTGCACAGCTCAACTATTGTAACTAACCTGAGTATCTGTCAATGGGGTGAAGGGCAAAGGGCTGTGCTGTTTACAGGAAAATAGATGCAACTGGAAATAATCACATTAGGTCAATTAAGGCAGTCTCAAAGACAGACAGCCTACGTTTTCTTCCTTTTGTGGCTCCTAGACTTTAGAGATCTGTAAAATCGTGTATGCATATATGATATGAAAGCCCAAGAAAAGCTATTGAGAGAGATGGAGAGGACAGGAGGGGGAGGAAGAAATGAGGACAAGAGAATAAGCTCAACATACATTTTACACAAAAACTTAAAATTGTTTAAATGCACAGGTATTTCCACCAACTCATTCCCAGTGTTGGGTAGGAAAATTATTCAATTTGTGTTGCCTTTTCTCATTCTTTCAAAACTGACAGCTCTTTCTAGATCCTGGAGATAAATGTTAACAATTACCCAGCATCCATCAGCACCTGCTTTCCTCAGGCATACATTTCAATTTACAAAATATATGCTTTTTAGGCATGTCATCCCCAGGCAATTAGCTGCCCCAACTGACAGGCATGTGAAATACAAAAGGCTCATTTGGAGAGCTCTAACCTGAGGTCATAGGCACAGAACAGATGACCTAAATTCTTACAGGGGCTGGAGGTGAACAACTTTCTTGAAAATAGCTTTGTGTGTCTGTCCTACCCTCCCCCCTTACTTCTCCTTGTCACAGCAGTCACTGAAGACTTTGTGCCTTATCCACCATGGAGCAACACTTTGAAGCTGTTAAAAGTGATCTTTGAACATTATCAAGATTACATAGAAACTTTCTAAGTATTTGTTATAACATTATAAAAGCAGCAAAACTTAAAATTCATTATTTCTACAACTATGTAAAAACGGGAGTTATGCAAAATAACATGCACTGCAGTAGAGTAGTTTACATCAGGACATGTGTCTGTATGGCAGGATTCTCAAAATCAGGAGTTGAAATTGGTGCTTACTCTTACATTACTCTTGCATTAAGTAATCTCAAGGAAAATATTTCATTCACTGTAACTGAAACAGCACTCAGTATGACTAGACTTCAAATTCTGGATTAGAGCAGCTCTAGGTGGCCACCCCTGCAATGATTTCAACATCTGTTGTTTATCTGGGGGAATAAAGAGGCACACCAAACTAGCTCATTCGTTCTGAGTGAAAAGAAGATTGCTATGTGGGGAATTGTTAGTTCTTTGTTAGTGTTTTTGTTATTATCAAGATTCCTCAGGAAAGTGAGCTGGCCAGAAGCATAGTTAATGAAAGTGAAGCAGGAAAGAAATAGAATTAATTACGCCAGTTCGCCTTCAGCAGTTACTCTAGCACTGAGAAGTAAGAGGTAGTAGCTATTTCCTGGGAAGTATGCCAGCTGGGGGGCTACAATCTCTAGCTATCAAACTACCCAAATTTGTTCCCCACTCCCTACCCCTATACTTCCAGTTTATTTGCTACCATCTGTAAGAGAATGTGTAAAAACAAAAGAAAAGATAAACACCAACTTCCATTTACATTGTATGTTTCGTGATATCTACACAGACCCAGGCAAGCAGTCACCGTATGCAGATGTCATCTGTCCACTCTGTCACGATTTCTAATCAGCTCAGATAATTCCAAGTTTGCTGTACTATAATTTATCCAATTAATCTAATCAGCTATGAAACAGATGAGGGCAACAATGCAATCTTTGATAAAGTGAGTTCATTGAGCTTTAAAAACTGCTCAGCTGAGGACATAGTTAACTTCTACACAAAGGGCAAAAGTAACTTTGGTAAATACTCTGCCTTTTTTTTTTTTTGAGATGGGGACTAGAAGTTGAGGTTGGACAGTCTTAAACTCAAATTCCTGATCCTCATACCTCAGCCTCCTGAGTGTTGGAATTATAGTCTTTTGCAACCATGTCTGGCTTACTTTCTTTATTTTTAGCTCATATTTCTATTCATAAGACCCCATATAACAACAGGATGTTAAACCTAAGAACAAAATAAAACAAAATAGGCACATACAGTATTTTAAAATAAATTCATGGGTGCAGAGATGGAAAGTTCTATATTTCTACATGTCTGGGAAGAAATCCAGAATGTTTCAAATAGAAACAGTTGAGGGCTTCTGTTTGTTTGTTTGTTTCAAAGCAAAAAAAGAAAAACATCCTCTGAAAATGTTACTTCTGCAATCAAAAGGTTGATTCCCAATGTTAAGCTCATTTTCCTTGCTTGTGACTGATACAAACTGTTCTGGCTGTAACCCTAAGTGACACCACAGAAAACGAAACAGAACTATGTACTCACTATGACCATTTCACAGACACATGGTCATTTCAAGATGTCCTCAGGCAAGCCTGGGGCAGAATTTCCATCTCTAGTGGCTCCCAGTTTGGCCCAGTGCAGTCATTAAGTCTAGAAATGCACATGACAGTGCTGCAAAGAAGTTGAGAAACACAGCACATGACTGTGTGGTGTTGGCCCCAAACAGTCTGCAAGGAGAATGAGAACATGAAGGAAGATGCTGCTGGCCATGTGGAAATAGAAGAGATCACTACCACTGGGACAGTAATGCCTTTCAGGAATTTCTGAGGGTGACAGAAGAAAGCAGTGGTGGGGAACGGGACTACATTCTGAAATTTTGATATTTAACCTACATTGGGTAAGCAATGTACATTTCCTGGTCTCCAGGCTAAAGACTGAGACCAAAGCTGAGAAGTGACAGGCTTGGTCCTTTTTAGAGTTTGCAGCCTCGATGGGAAATAGTCTCAGTCCCGTTTCATTAGCAGAACAGGAAATGTTCTGAGACTGCTTCATAGGCTGCAGGCAGGAAGGTTTTGCTAATGCAAATATAAAAGCCACACTTCGGTGATCAATGAAAGGACCAATGTCAGGATTTCATTTCCCAGAGACTGGGGCAGCTCCTAGAGCTTGATGCTGAGTCAGGCATTGCGTACTCAGAGAAGAGTGGTGGGTTCTGAGGACCTCCAGCTAGCACCAGAATGTCATCACGTGCTAAGCTTGCTCCACACTTGGGCCTCTTCAGAAGCAGGAACTAACGCAGATGATGAACCTAAAATGTCAAGCTGCCTGTTTAATGCTGTTTCTACAAACTAATGCAGGATTATGTCCCCAAAGGTGGAAATAAACAAGTGTCACCTGCCTATCACAAATGGAAACTATAACAGGGAAAACTTTCTTCTTGTTTATAAGCAAATTTGACTTAAAATTTAAGACAACATAGTATTCATTATACTATCCCCTTCATGTCACCTCTTAGCAGCCCGGCAAATCAAATACATTCTGGGTCAAGTCTGAAATTCTCACTAAATCCTAAGGGTTTTGATGGCTAGACAAAATTGAAAATTATCAAATATAATTATAAAAATGATAATACTAGCCAGGCATGACGAGGCATGCCTGTAATCCCTAGCATTCAGGAGGCTGATGCCAGAGGACTGTGAGTCTCAGGTTAGCATGGACTACACAGTGGTACCCTACTCCCAAAAATTCCGAAGAAGAAAAAAGGAGACATAGTATTAAAAACAAAACAACAACAAAAACCTATTGATTTGGTTCATAGTAGGTCAGCCTAGAGAGAATATTGATCTCCTGACTCAAAATCCCTTATCTGATAAGCACAGTGACATAAAAGATGTGACTACATTTACTGTGTCCTCTCAAGGGCCATCTTTCCCCCTGTTTCAGCAATAAAGAACCTGAGGCATCAACAGGTTAAGTACCTTGACTAAGGTGCCATAGTAGTGTAGTCTTTACCCATGAGAGATATATTCCAAGTTCACTGGATGCTAAAAATTGACAGTACCAACAGATGGTCCCCGACTATCAAGTAGTGTGAAAGAAATATATGCTTAGTAGAAGTGGTATTTTGAATTTTGATCTTTTCCTGTCTTGTATTCAGAATGATGCCCGCCCCCCTTTTTGATCCCTGGAAGCAGCAGTACACGGTAACAAGACGCAGCTCCCTATTCGCTGAGCTGCTGTGAGAATGAACAGCTAACACTCCAGGACATTGTGTCACTGATGGTTTACGACAGAGACACACAGAAGGTGGTGTTTACTATGCTGTAGGTGCTCAGCTGGGACCCCCAGCTCACTCCTCTTGGTCCAGAAAGTCCCATTTCTCTTGCTCCAAACTCCACAGTCTCAGAGAATCTCCAACTAAGAAAAGGTACACAAGAGCCCAGTTGTACATTCTTGGTAGCTGCAGCAGCTCCTCCCCTGAAGTTTCCAGTAGCCCAAGACCCCGCCTAAAGTGGTTAGCTTTTGACCACACTTAGGCACAAACCCTGCTTGTGGAGGACATGTCATCACCCCTCTCCTACAAGGTATATAATCTCCCTGCTTTAGTTCGGCCATGTGACTTCTCTGGGCCCCACCTCCAGGGCTGGAGGACTAGTCCAGGAGTTGCTTTGCTCAAATATACCTGTTCTTTTAGTTTTTCAATTTGGCTTGGTCTGGCTTATGGCATCAGTGGAGAAACCTACTGTCACAATACAGAAAACCTGTTAGTAGACATGTGTGTCATCTGACTTTGCCCACACTTTAAACAGGCTATGCCATGTGACTCTTGAGAAACTTGTCCTTGTTCTTGGGCATGTACTGTCCTTTTCCTAAGCACCTCTTTCTCCTGTTTGTTGCTTAAATTTCTACTAAAATGTTTTTTTTTTAATAAACTTTAACTTTGCTTCATTAAACAACTTACATGCCATGGAAAATGCATATATACACATATATTCACACATACACAATTGATCATCAGATATATTTTGAAACATAGCTCTAGATAAACCAAAAATGACCTGATCATCTTTTTTTTTTTTTTTTTTTTTTTTTTTTTGTAGTGATGGTATTGGTACTCTAACTGAGCTACATCCCCAGGCTCACCATGGCATCCTTTGAACTAGGAGGATTCTATCAATAAAGATCTACTTTGAGTTAAAAGTAAATCTCTCCCTTATAGAAAGACTCAAATAAAAGGTTGGGAGACGGGCAGAGGAAATTTTCCACTCATAGGACTGAAGTATCGCATGCAAGACTACTGGGATTGTGACATGCTGTACTCAGGGAAAGAGCCTATTTCTACAGGAAGGCTAGGAAAAACCAGAAACCGGGGTACTAGCTATGGTCAAAATATTCTTAGTATTTAGAGTTATCTCTTAAATATATAGAAATATCTTCTAAGATGAGGTGAGTGCTTGATATAATTTTGTATAATTGCTGTATCTTCCAATTCTGAGTTTATAATGAGGAAGAAACTATACTGCAAACAACAGATGGCCATAAAAATTAAAAAATAACAGTCTGCAACTCTGTGACATCACTGAAGCCCCTGAACCACTGGAGTTAACTGAGAGTTTATAATGCATTTCTTTGTTCTGATCATCACAGACTAACTGCAGATGGAGGAAGAAATAATGGAAATTTATTTCCACTCAAACACACTGAGGCCAGAACCACCGTGCAATAAGTGATAGGGCTAGGATCCTGGACGTGGGTCCAGAACTCCAAACCAAGTATTCTCCCCATTATATCATGCTGCTTCAGTAGAAGTCATTTGTGTGGGAGAATAAGAACAGATGCTTCTTGTTTGTTTGTGTTTCTGAAGACATGGTTTCTCTGTAGCTGTGGAGCCTGTCCTGGAACTAGCTCTTGTAGACCAGGCTGATCTCGAACTCACAGAGATCTGTCTGCTTCTGCCGCCCACGTGCTGCAATTAAAGGTGTGTGCCACTGCTGCCCAGCAAGAACAGATACTTTTTTTTAATTTTTTTTTGAAAGTAATTTTATTAAATTATAAAAGTTTCCATTTACGCCCCTCTTCCCAACACCCTCCCACTCCCCCCCTCCCTCTCCTCCTCCCTCTTTGTCCCTAAGGGCAGTCAGGGTTTCCTGCCCTGTGGGAAGTTCAAGTTCCTCCCCCCTCCCTCCAGGTCCAGGAAGGTGAGTATCCAAACAGACTGGATCCCAAAAATCCAGTATATGCAGAGGAAACTAGTCCCAGTGTCATTGTCAATGGCTTCTCAGAAAGACTCCAGGCCAGCCACATTCAGAGAATCCGGCCACATTCAGAGAATCTGGTTGGATCACGTGCTCGTTCAGTCGCAGTCCAACTGGCCTTGGTAAACTCTCATTAGATCCGACCCCTTGTATCGGTGGGTGATAGCATCCCTCGCAGTCCTTCGTCATTTTCTTCGTCCTTCTGCTCCTCATTTGGATCTTGGGGGGCTCAGTCCGGTGCTCCAATGTGGGTCTCCGTCTGTATCGCCATCCAACGCCAGATGAAGAAGAACAGATACTTTTATACCTGCTTCTGAGGTTGTAATTTAGGGAGAAAAAGATGGCAGGCAAAAGAAAATTTTCTTCTTTAAATAAATGTCTCTCAGTCAGGATCTAACAAATCATTTCAATAATTTATAACAGAAGGAATTTATTGTATACTAAAAAGGTATCAGCAAGTAGACTTTATTTTAAAATAGGCATGTTTATTTTGTGAACCCAGATCTTTGCACATGCTAAACAAGTCCTTTCCCACTGAGCTCCTATCCTCAGCCCACAGCAGAAAGAATTTAAGAAATGGAATTGGTTATACAAGCCATGAAGTTGCTGAAAGTCAAACTGGTAGAAGGTTTAGCATTAACAAGAAGCATACAATCCCAGAGACCAGAGAAAGAGATGGTATTACTGCAGCTGAAGGCCTGGGGTCTCTTAAAGGAACATGGAAGCAAGGTGGATCTGCTTCCACGGGAAG